AAAAAACCTAAGGAAGTTGGATGTGGGTCGGAGTTCTATGAAATCAAAATTTCACGATTGCGCTTAAAGTGATTTGGACACCTGGACTGTACCTGTATTACGCCCAACAGCTTAATGATCTCTTCAGCTATTTCGTCTATGTACAGCTACTGAATCGTCATTAGATGTTTAAAATGACGTTTGAAAGGGAAATTGTTCTTCTTCTTCCTTGTTCTTCTCCTTAGCGGTGATCCCTCGCCGTCGCAGGGTCCGCTCTTCTTGTCAGTCGTCTTCACTTCCTCCTATCTACTGCATCTTCTGCCGTTACTTGACTTCGGCGAAGCCCTTCATGATTACGTCCCGCCACCTCTTTTTTTGGGGCTCCTCGTGGTCATTTCCCTTGGGCGTCGTACTCCATTGTCTCCCTTATCGATTGATTCGGTGGTCTTCCCAGGTGTCTACTATGGTATGTGTCCGTACCATCGTGGACGCTGCTCTCTCATCTTAAGTTGGACAGGGGCTGTACGCATGACCTCTCTGACGCTAGTTTCTAATCTGGTCCAGTCGCATCCAACCGCAGGCCCAATTGAGCATCCTAATCTCAGCGGAGTGAAGTTGTCTTTCATGATNTGATGTTTGAAAGGAAAACTGTTCTTCTTCTTTCTGGTTCTTCTCCTTAGCGTTAATCCCTCGACGTCGCAGCGTCCGCTCTTCTTGTCAGTCGTCTTCACTTCCTCCTATCTACTGCATCTTCTGCCNCAGGGGCTGTACGCATGACCTCTCTGACGCTAGTTTCTAATCTGGTCCAGTCGCATCCAACCGCAGGCCCAATTGAGCATCCTAATCTCAGCGGAGTGAAGTTGTCTTTCATGATTCCTATTTATGGGCCAGCACTCACTGCAGTAGGTCATGGCAGGCCTCACCGCTGTCTTGCACACCTTTCCTTTAAAGCACTGGAGCAGCGACGGTCGCAGAGAATGCCGATGGACCCCATTCACTTCATCGATGCCGCGTTGATACAGGATCTTACAGCCTGATCCACGCTACCATCAGTGGCTAGATCACTCTTCACGTATGGGAGAGCCTGTACTCTTCGATGACTTCCCCGAAACCGTCTACGATTGACTACGTGCACTCCTCGTAGCTGAGGAACTTAATTTTCTTCACGTTCAGCCGTAGCTCACTATCTGCCGACACTTTCTGCCATTTCTGCAGCTTTTCCTGAAGCTCTTCCCAGCTCTCCGCCAACGAAGCGATGTCGTCGGTGTAGAGGATGGTCTCCAGTAGTCCATTCATAAGTCTGTTAGTGCGTATCGCTGCCGTGGAGCCAGAGTACTTGTCCTTGACGAGGGAGATTACGGGTTCTGCAAACTTACGTTTCGGAGCGCTCTCCAGCGGACTTGTCGTCGAATGCCTTCGCCAGATCAAGGAATTCTAGGTAGCAGGGTCTGCGCTTTTCTCGATGCTTTTCCATAAGTTGCCTAGCTATGAAGATAGCATCCGTTGTTGGCCGCTCTGGCATGAAGCCCAATTCCCCCTTGGATCTGGACGGTTTCCCTCAATCTCGAGTCGACCATATGCTCCTAAAGCTTCATTGTGTGAGCAATCGAACTTTTCCCCCGGTAACTGGAACGCTCCATCGCGTCCCCCTCCTGCTTGAAGATGGGCATGATAGTACTGCTTCTTCACGCATCTGACATTCTTTCTTTAGTGGTCGCAGCGTTCAGGAATCAGATAAACACTTTACCCCGTGCTCTCCGAACGTACTCCATGGCTTAATCGGCACCGCATCCAGACCAGTCCCTTACCAACTTATATCTTTCCTGCTGCTCTCTCTTTCCGCTCATCACACTCGGTGCAGAATTCGATGGGGCAGAACTAGACTAAAATCTGTTATTATGGGGGAACTCTTCGTTTGAGAGCCTGCCAAACTGTTTTCCTACTTGCACCTCACCTCAGCAGAATTTCCTCAGGACTGCGTAGTCGCTTTTCCTAACAGACTTCATTAAAACGTTGTCCTGAGTAGTCCGGCGGCGTGCCTTCGCCAGCGGAGGCGAAACTTTTCCCCTTCTTGACTGTCAAGTTTCTCATACAAGGCGTCCAATTCCGTGTTCTTTGCCTTCGCTACAGCAGCCTTGGCGAGTCTCTCGGAGGCCCTGTGAAGGTGTGTCCTTGGAATGTCCTCTGGAATTTGTGTCCTTTGCAGCGCTTGTACGTCGATTTCTTCTGCCTCACAATTAGCTGGACTTCATCGTTCCATACCAAGCTTCCTTGCCCGTGCACTACAAGTTTTCTCCAGCGTTTCCTTTGTACACCGTAGAATGACCTTTACGGCGCTAATCCAGCAGCGATGCAGCTTCGTTCTGACTACCTCCTATCAGGAGATCGGATGGCTCGTCGAGGCTCAGAGAGAACTGATCTTTAACACTCGAAATAGCCAGCTTGTAGCATATTACCGTCCAGTACAAGGATATTACCGTCCAGTACCCCTCGTTCGTATCTATCACCACAGCCTTGATTCGACTGCTGATCCTGTTGACGGCGGAAACAGAGTCTCTGAGGGACGATTACGGGACTACTTGGACTTTCTCTGCATCTCTGACGGCAAGAGGCTAGAGCCCGAAGAAAAACACCCCGGGTGAAGCCCACGGCTGTGGTGGTGGGGGCCTCAATGGACAGGCGAGCACAACACTCAAAGACTACATCAAACGGGAGTGCGCCAGACGAGGGCAGAAAAATGACACATCCGGCAAATTTAAAGGAACCGAGTTCAAGTAGTCCTTAGGCCCTGAGGGACTCCGCCACTGCTATGGCCACACCATTTTGTTTGGTGTCCTCTCCGTTGTGTAAGATCTTGACACCCTCTCCAATTTCTCTGGCCTTTGCTCCTTTCTCGCGGGTCTCCTGAAGGTATAGGACTTGGATGTTCTGCATTTCATGGGACCAGCGTCCTCGTCAGAGAACGAGTCTCGCTCTTTCTAAGTGCAGACGTGAGCCTACACTCTTATCCACTCGGCTATCCCTGCATAAAAATAATGTCATTATATAGTTACTAAATCGTCATTAGGTGCTGTTTCACCTAATGACGGTTTAGTAACTAGAGAGAAGTCCAGGCACTTAAGTCAGTACCTAGAGCTTCTCTTAAGAAGCTGGAGAGAAAAAGAAAGCCAAGGGATCGAAAGAAAGATTGTCTTGAACATATAAACTTTGTTGATTAATCACAAAATGATATTTGGCAGACATGCTCAAGTGAAATGCGGGTTGAAGCAAAATATTCGCCTATCTGTTTTTAGCGCTTAAGTGATCTTCAGGTAATAACTTGGTTTATTTCCTGCATGTTCAACTTGACTGTTTTCGGATAACGCTCATTTTGCACAGCCACGTAGCACACATTCACGAAGATAACCACGTCAGCTCACACACTCGAGACATACGTCTATAGAACAGCCCGATTACTTGGAGTGCGCACAGGGAAAAAAGGGTCATCCGCGTTTAACCCATTCCCTTGACGAAGTGGAGTGGACGAAACTTATTAAAGGCGAAAATGAAAAGGATAGGTCAACACGAGAAAGCGTCGAAATAATGGCAATTAATCGTGAACTGACTAAATAGTCAAAGATTTCGAATAATCACCCATCACTTCGTGTTCCTGGAATGACATTTGACGATTGCAATGTGCAGGAGATATGGAAAGAGCACGTGCCTTTAGACAGTCTCGTTGCCAGATTCGGGGTGATGTCCATTCCTACAAGGGGTGCCCCTGGGAGCTATTTCGGAACGCAGCGTAGCCTTTACGTGAGAAGTGTAGCTCATAATGCGCTCCTGAGGGGTAGCATTTCTCCAGTGATAATTTCGACGAACAGTTCGTCATCTCGAAGTAAGCTGCGCAGCCGCTCGCAAACTTTCAGTATACATGATGAAGCTGGTAGTGATCCCGAGGTACATAGGTTGAAGTGAACCAAATGCATCTTATTGTTCTCCTCTCCTGCAGTGAAAGATGCACTCTGAATGTCATGCATTCTTCGCCCAGAAATTATTCGCATCCGAAGAAGACAGGGTTAGAAAGCACTGGATTAGGGTGAACGCAGGTTATGTGGTCAATCACAAGTATACAACACATAACAAGCAGCCCTAGTGGAGTCATTGGAGCCAGAGCAAATGAGGTCGATCGGATTGCAACAAATTGATAAGAGATAACAGTATGACTGCTCAGATCAAATCTGCCACTCGGCATTCTGGTAAAGTCACGTTGTCAGCTCGATCATTTGTCCATTCTCCATTGATAGCAACGTTTTCGTTGGGCAGAGATTTTCACAACGTTTATGGAGGATAAATTTCCTATATTCGAGGAAATGGAAGCTTTCACGCTGGCATTATGATTTCATCGAGCATTTTTAATGGCCTATAAGGGACTCCTAGAGGTATAGAATCTGTTGGGATTATGTGAAATGCGTCACAACCGTTAAAGACTTAGGTATATATAGCATCTGTTGGATGAGACCTGTCTTCATCTTTCTCTTTATCATAAAGGTATATAAGTGAGCTCCAGATTCGGCTTTTTTGGCTAACGTTGGTTCTTCATTTATTATGAGTCAGAGTCATTTCAGAATGAAATTCTTTATCTTCATACTCATGGATGCTGCATCAGTGCACTGCCATATACCTGGATATGAACCGTTTGACCTCGGACCAAAGACCGAGTGGTGCATCGGGTCAAAAGAAACAGGAGGAATGCGCTACAACGTTCTTACCGGGAAAATTGTGTACTATGGGAAAGGTACTGATTTTCGGGAACGAGCAAGTAATCATCTCTAATTGCTGAAGGAGTTTTTTAGCTGTAGAAAGCTCAACTTGGACCCCTCCCTGGACGACTTGGACGCTTGATCCACATGTTATCGTTTCGAAATAAGAATTATCTAAGTAAGACTTGATTATCTGTTCCAGGCACCTTTTTCGTGGTAATATGAGATTCCACTGGAAACCTATCGGTATTTTAAGAGTTTTATCACTTACCATTCGGATCACCCGGCTACACCGCGCTCGTTCTTTTCGTGTGGAGTTCTTCTGTAGCCCACTATCCAGGTTTGAACGCTCTGATACAGGATAACAGTATTTATAAATTTTCGGCCAAATAAACACACAGACACCCGTACATACGTCTACGTGTGTCTGTGTGTGCGTATTTGGCCGGAAATTTATACCTATCCTTATGTTAGAGCCTTGTACCCGTAGATAAGAGCTGTAGAGGGTTCTGAAGTGAAAATGAACACTCCCAAAAATATAAAACTAATTCCATTGTACATAGTAAGTCATACAGCATTCAGCAACACTCAACATTGTTTAGTCCCTTTTGATGTACTGCGGTTCCGCCTTTCGCCAGGAATAGTAGCGGCTGTCGGAATTGGCTTCTGCAACGGTTTCATGAGGTAGAATTCTTGCCTACTCAGCAGATTATGTGATCTTTTGCCTCCCCTGATGATTCCCTTTTCATAGTGAAGTCCCATGCTATTCCTTTTCAAAAACTGCAGAAAAAGCCGTCTCAACTCTAAATGGGATCTTCAAGTTCCAAAAGCAAACTTCCGAACAGCGGATAGATTACCAGTGTGGTACAACTTCTCGGAAGCATAGGCTTAGCGTAAAGGCACGTTGTGTGGTCAATTGCAACTTCGCAATACATAACGATCAGCTCTCCCGGAGTCACTGGTCAACCGGAATGCAACAAATTGATAAGATACATCGAGTGTGACTGCTGAATTCAAATCTGCCATCTGCCAGTAATCCCTTTTTCAGACTAATCGTTTGTTCCATATCCACTGATAACAAGGTTCTCTTCGAGCAGAAATTTACACGATGTCGAATCAATCATTTGTTCCTTCTCCATTGATAGCAACGTTTTCATTGGCCGAGTTTTTCACAACGTTTATGGAGGATAAATCTCCTATGCGTGGCTGGGAATCTTTATGCTGGCATTATAATTTCTTCGAATATACAAAATGGCCTATAATGGATTTTCCTAAGGCTATAAAATCTTTTGAAATTATAGAATAATGCGTCGCAACGGTCGAAGGCCTCGGTACATAAACCTGCAGAATGAGGAGCCACCCCACCATTATTATATTTCTCTCTATCATCAAGGGACATACCTAGACTCGAGATTTGGTTTTTTTTTTCGGCTGACGTTGGTTTTTATTCATCATGAGGAGAATCATTTCAGAATGAAATCCGTCATCTTCACACTCATAGTTGCTGCATTTGTGCATTGGGCTTCTGGGCTGGGAACCGCGTGGTGCACGTGGTCAGAAAAAACATCACAAGGGATGTGTCATAGCCTTCTTACAGGAAAAACGGTGCACTTTACGAAAGGTACTGACTTTCGGAAACGAGACAGAGGAATTATCTCGAGGTTTCAAAGGAGTCTTTAGATCCATCATACTATTTTGGACAACTCCAAGTTGTCCCGACACAACTCCAAGTTGTCCCGACGACAACTCCCAGTCCCTTTGAGAGAGCTTATCCATGGATTTTAAATTTTTAGGTGAGAATGATCTTAATGTAGTTTGATCATTTGATTTAGGCACCTCTGTTCGTAATATGGTAATCTTCTGGAGAGTAATCGGTATTTCTACATTTCTATTAGTTGCCAGTGGGATCGCCCGGCTACACCGGGCTCTCCTTCCGTTTGTGTGGAGTTCGCCTGTCGAACTCTCACCAACGGGTATAAACTTTCGGTCGGTACACATATGCACAAAAACACACACAAACCAACAGACACGCTTGGAATGTTATATATAGTAGGATTATCTTGGCAGAATTATAAGTTACTTGGGATACTCCCATAGGATTTTCTGTCAGGTGTTCTAAGCAATCTTCGAGCGGTTGAAAACTTTTGAAGCGACCGTGCGTACTCGCTTCGTGTCTTCCTTATTGAAAAAGAGGAGCTGTGGTGGAAAAGGAAAGTTGAAAACTCTGGTGGGTTGGCAAACTGGTACCAGACTCGTGTGGGAGGATAAAAGCGCTGACTTGCACTCATTGTAGGAAACATACGTATCCATTACAGTGTTACGATTCTGAATGGAAGTCGAATGCGGGAGCGCATGCCTCAGACGGAATAGATTAACGTCAAAAATTTCATCCTCTATTCTTATCAAATCACGAGTTATATTAGTTTCCGTTTCAGGTGAAAATGCACTGGAAATGAATTCAACTTTGCGGAGCTGGATGAGAAGCCGATGAGATTCACCATTGAATTTTTATAACGCTTTCTCGCTTTGTAATACCGCAAATAAAATTTTGTACAGTTTTAACTTTCTACCAGGAGGCGCTCCCTGAATGAGTAGCCCCATTCCTTCTTTATGTTTAAACGGTAGATTTTGTGCAGGAAAGAAGAACAGTGATCATTGCAAGCCCGCCTAATATGAAAGAAAGGCACTGCAACCATCCTATAACTGCCCAGAGTCCATGCAATACTCTACGACAACGTACATTCTTGAAGGGAACTGAAAATTTGTCTTTTACTTACAAGTCCTTGGGCACGCTGAACGTTTGCGCATTTTACGACTACTCAATATTTCTGTTGCTTTTCAGGAAAATAAAAGCGATTAATAACCGCAAAAGGTAAGTACTGTTGGGCAAGGTACTACTCATCGGGTTTATACTTTCCTGCAACGACCGGTCCATATACATTAGCTTTGTAATGCTAGCAATCGATGACGATTCCTTTTTTTCTTTTTAAAAATGAATCTTTTCTATTTTCAAAGTATTCCAAACCATGCATAGCGCAATCCGGCGGTTGCTGGCCGTGTCCGTAATGGTCGAGGTGAGATGAGAGATTCACCCCAAGTACATGGATGTCAAAGAACGAATTATTCAAACAACCTTTTTCGGCTGCCCAGGTCAGGCAGTTCCAAGCGAACCATTGATATTCGGTAGCAGAAGGACGTGCTTCGTGATTGAATAGAAAAAGACTTGAATTGAAGATAATTCTCTGCTCTACGAAAGCACTACCACAAATCGGATGAGAACTCAGCTCTATGAATGCTTAAAAAGTTGGATGCGTTGTCCGAATTAGACGGAATCTAAATTTACGAATGCGCCTCAGTTGATTTGTAAACCTGGACTATCCAAGTATTATGCCGGGGAGCGAAGTGACCCCATTAACAATAATGTAATTATATTGTTACTAAATCGTTACTAGGTGTTGTTTGAAAGGCAAGCAAAAGTAGAAGAGAGAAAGAAAGTCAAGCGGATGGAAGAAAATTCGTTCTGAACATATCAACTTTGTTGATCAATCACCGATTGAAATTTTGACAGTCCTGTTTGGGTGAAGTGTGGGATGAAGCAAAATATTCGCTCTTCTCTGCCCCTTGTCAGAGCTGAAGTGATTTTAGGTAATACTCGCTTAATTTCCTGTATCATCACATGACCACTTTCGGATAACGCTCATTTTGCACAGCCACATAGCACACATTCACGAGGATACCCACGTCAGCTCACACACCCTGGGCATAGTCTATAGAACAGCTCGATTACTTGGAGGCCATTCGCATTCATGACGGAGTGGATGGAACCTATGAAAGAAAAAAGAGAAAAGGCAAGGTCTACTTGAAAAAGCATTGAAAGTCAACTAAGTAAGTAGTTATAGATGTCCAAAAATCGCCCATCGTTTCGTGTTTCTAAAGTGACGTCTGATGATAGCGATGTGCAAGGGATACGAAAGAAGCCCTTTTTTCAGACAGACTCAGTGCTGGAGTGGTGGCGATGTCCGTCCCTCCCTGGGGTGCCACTGGGAACTGCTTTGAAATGAAGCGCAGTTTTTGCATGAGAAGTTTAGGTCACACCACGCTCCTGAGGTGTAGTAGCTCGATCGTGACAATTCCGATGGAACTGCACAGCTCGCGGTTGGATACGCCGTCGTTTGCAAACCTCAGTGCACATGCTGAAGTGTTACTGATCCTAAGGCTGAAAGGGTGAAATGGAGCAAACGCATCTTATTGCTCCCTTCTCCTGCAGTGAAAGACGCACTTTCAACACAATGCATTCTATTCCCGGGAAATATTCACCCTCGAGGAAGACAGAGGTGATAGGAGTGGTAATCACAAAAAAGGAAGCTTAATACGAATATCAGCCGAGCTGAGGCAATTTTTTGTTGAAATTGACGTATTCTAAAGTGACATACTTCGGCCATTACCGAAAAAAAAGTGACTGCAAAATGGTCACCAGATGCCATCCAGTTGCACCCATAAGCTCTATGAGCTATAAAGACCACGATCATAAAGTATAAATGAGTACTCCCGAAAAAGTAAAATTAATTCCATTGTATAAAGTGAGTCATATAGAATTCAGTAACACTCAAAATTGCTCGCTTTTGATGCACTACGCCTTTACCAGAAATAGCCGTGTCTTTCGAAGTTGACTTCTGCGACAGTCCCGGAAGTAGGAATTTCTAGAAGTCGTCGGTTTGCTCCACCTTAGTAGGTTTGTGTTTCCTGAGCAGATGAAGTGATCTTTGACCTCCCCTGACGTTCCCTTCTCATAATGAAATCCTTTTCCAATATTGCAAAAAAAAATAATCCACCAAAACTTGAAATAGGATCTTCAAATTCCAAAAGCAGACTGGATGGATTACCAGTGTGGGAAAGCTTCTCCAATGCACAGGCTCAGGGTAAAGGCAGGTTACGTGGTCAATCGCATTTAAGCAATACAATACAGTTAATAGCAGTCGGCTCTCCTGGAGTCATTAGTCAACTGGATTACAACAAATTGATAAGATACAACAAGTATGACTGCTGAGCTCAAATCTGCCACTCGGCATTTTGATGGAGCAGCGTTGCCGGATTAATCGTTTGTTCCATATCCACTGATAACAAGGTTCTCTTCCGGCAGAAATTCTCACGTTGTCGAATCAATCATTTATTCCTTCTCCATTGATAGCAACGTTTTCGTTGGTCGAGTTTTTCTCAACGTTTATGGAGGATAAATCTTCTATGCGTAGCTGGGAATCTTTATGCTGGCATTATAATTTCTTCGAACATTCAAAATGGCCTATAATGGATTTTCCTGAAGTTGTAAAATCTTTTGAAATTACAGAATAATGCGTCGCAACGGTCGAAAATCTGGGTATATAAGCCTGTCGAATGAGGACTCAACCCATTATTATTATATTTCTCTTAATCATCAAGGGACGTACGTAGGCTCGAGATTTCATTTTTTTTTCTTGGTTGACGTTGGTTCTTGATTTATCATGAGGCAGAATCATTTCAGAATGAAATCCCTCATCTGCATACTCATATTTGCCGCATATGCGCATTGGGCTTCTGGTTTTTTAACCGAGTGGTGCTCCTTTTCACGAGAATCAGGATGGTCGTGCACCAACTATTTTACGGGAAAAACTGTGCACTTTAAGGGAGGTACTGACTTTAGGAAATGAGCAAGGTATTATCCCAAGGTTTCAAAGGACTCTTCAGATCCATCACAGTGGTTTGGAATGTTGACGACGACTCCTAGTCCTTGGATGTTGGCTCATCCATATGATCTGATGCTATGATTTTGAGGTGAGAATGATCTAAATGTAGTTTGATCAATTGTTTTAGGCACCTTTGTTTGTGGTAATATGGGATTCATCTAAAGAGTTTGGGTATTTTTATACTTCCTATTGGTTGCCAGTCGGATCGTCCGGCTACACCGGTTTCTCCTTCTTTTCGTGTAAAGCTCGCCTTTCACCCACTCTCCCAAGTTTGAACGCTCTGGAACAGGATAAAAGTGGACAGAATTTTTTGGCCAAATACACACACAGACACAAAGCAACGGACACACTTCCGATTAGAGCGTTATATATAACAGGATTATGTTGACAGGATTATAAGTATTCTGAATAAATAATATCCTCAGGATTCTGCAATTATGTGAAAATTTTCCAAGCGGTAAAGAACTGTACCATTTGGGGTAATTTCGGATGAGTTCCTGTCAAGTGTTTCAAGAAGACTCAGTTGGAAAATTCCGAAGCGACCATGCGTACTCGCTTAGTGTCTTCCATTTTGAAAAAGAGTTGTGGTGGAAAAGGCAAGTTAAAAATTCTGGTGGGTCGGTAAACTGGTACCAGACTTGTGTGGGAGGATAAACGGACTGTCTGGGAGGACTTGCACACTGGCTTGCCACGCTAAGTCATTTTAGGCCACATACGAACCTATTACAGTGCTACAATTCTGAATGGAAGGCGAATGCGGGAGCGCATGCCTCAGACGGAATAGATTAACGTCAAAAATTTCGTCCTTGATTCTTATCGAAGCACGAGTTATATTAGTTCTCGTTTCAGGTGAGGATGCTCTGGAAATGATTCAACACTGAGCTGGGTGAGAAGCAGATGAGATTCAGCATTGAATTTTTATCACGCTTTCTCGCCTTGTAACACCGCAAATAAAATTTTGTACAACTCTTACTTTCTACCAGAAGGCCCTTCCTGAAAGAATAGCCCCATTATCCCTTTTTGTTTCCACGGTAGATCTTGTACAGGAAAGAAAGTGAACATTGCAAGTCCGCCTAAGATGAAAGAAAGGCACTGCAATCATCCTATCAATGCCCACAGTCCCATGCGATACTCTACGACAACGTACATTCTTGAAGGAAATTGGAAATTCCATCTTTCACTTACAAGTCGTTGGGCACGCTGAATGTTTGCGTTGGGCGCGCTGAATGTTTGCGCGTTTTACCAATATTTCTGTTGCTTTTCAGAAAAATAAAACCGATGGAATTCTTTTCTAATTCTTAATTCACACGCTTCTGCTAAGCCGCTTCAAAGTTACCTTTGGAATGCCAGTGATTGTGGAAACGTCCATAACACCCCAAGTGGGATAGGAAATTTACCCTAAGGGAATGAATGATTAGAGCAGGACTAAAACAACCCTTCCATGAGTTAGACAAGTACCAGTACAACCCTTCCATGAGTTAGACAAGTACCAGTGGAGCCGGGAATTCGGGCCTGTTTCGAGCGAGCCGATAAAGTTCGGCAGCGGATGAACCTAGTTCGTCATCAAATAGGAAACGATTCACCGCGCAAAGGCGGAATACGAAAAAAGGGAATGACCGGATATAAAGGGTGCGACATAATACGAGGGCTGCCTTTTATATTTTGAGATTCGGCAGCGCTAGTGTAGCAATCTAGCAACTGACACCACTATCGTAAAGTCTGACTATTTTGAGGCTACGTTGCGTAATTTGAGCGCGATTTGTGTTGTTTGCACTAAGTTATAAGATTTTGTTTGGGCCAAGTTATGGGGTCGAATCGTGAGCATTTTTGCGCGATTATTTACTACAACTTCGACGTGGACCAACTCAACAGCAATGCATGGACGAACTCAGTTCAATTTTTGGTGATGAAGCTCCATCCAGGACCAGTGCTTATCGATGGTACAGGGAGTTCACCCGAGGTCGTAGTTCACTCGAAGAAGAATTTCGTGGAGGTCGTCCAAAATCACTTGTCGTTGCGGAAACCATTGGTGCTGTGCACAAACTAATATGCAAGTCCGTCATGTGACCTATCGTGGGATTGAGGCAACCTTAGGCATTAGTGGGACCAGCACACATTCAATATTGCATGAACATTTGACTATAAAAAAATTTTTTTTTGAAAAATTTGTCAATTCCCCAAAAAAGGGACTCGTGCCGATTGATCGAAAGAAATGCTCAAAAAATACGATCGCGGTGCTTCGAAACACGTCTATGACATCGGGACAGGTGATGGATCATGGATTTATGCGTATGAGCCCGAAAGGAAACAACAGTCGACAGTATGGGTATTCCAAGATGAGGCAAATCCGACAAAAGCTGTCCGCGCACCAAGCACTTCCGAGCAATTGATCTCCTGCTTCTTTGGAAAAACTGGACATGTCGCAACCGTACCACTAGAGCAAGCAGAACAGTCATTTCTGAGTGGTATACCACCATTTGTTTGCCAGTTGCCTTCCAAAAAATCAGGAAAACTATCTGCCCATGATGGATCACTTCTCACCACGACAATGCGAGCTCCCACACATCGGCCCAAACAAGTGCATTTTCGAGCACTCAAAATAACGATTTGACAGGTCATCAGTCATGTAGTCCACGGGTGACTTCTTCTCATCCCGTACGTAAAAAATAAATAGGAGGTCAACCTTTTTCGACACCTGAAGAAGCCGTTGATGCGTTCAGAATCCATGTTTTAGAGTTACCTTAATCAGAGTGGTGCAAGTGCTTTGAAAATCGGTTCGATCCCATGCAATAGTGTATAGATCTCAATGTGGAGAATTTTGAAAGGCAGTAAAGCGGTTCTCAATAAATAGTATTTGTTTCTGCTTTCGAGTCTCAAAATATTAAAGGCAGCCTACGTATGGTAACAACTTTTCGGGTGTCCGTAATTTCCTTGTTCGGAGGGTTTGTCCAAATCTGCACCTCCCCTTATGTCTATGATATACCAGATATATTTACTTTTGTGCTCTCAATACGCCAGATTTCGAGAAACGGAGGATCCTCGCAGACATCCACCAACCGTCCCGTCCTTGCGCGCATTTGGTGAGTTCTCTTCCGGGATCGCTCCTCGTTTCAGCATTTTCCACATGGCAGTCTCTCGAATCGCGATGCATGGACAGGTCAATGACAAATCTCAAAACGATTCTCTTTTCTCACTTTCTTTCCTTTTCCGGATACACTTACTTGGGCAGAAGTACGCTGCGGAACCCAGAAAAACGCGGGAAATGACTGCTGATTTGTTCATATGTTCTACTACGATGAGAAGAGCCTACCTAAAGTGAATACAGTTGCATCCAGATAGGATTCGGAAGCCTTATAAGCTCTTGACGATAATAAGTTGAAAAGAGAATGCCGTGCGCTACTTACGCGCAGCACGCGCTTCGGCACACTTTTTTTGACCGAATGGTGCTCAGCATGGAGGAAATGTTGAGACCTCAGAGTATAGTATATTCCAAACTGCGAGTACTGAAGCCGCTAAGAAGAGTTAGATCGCCTCTTGCAGCCATTTTCCCTCTTCACAGAGCTGGGATGTCTACCATGAGGACGATATCACAAATTTCGGTCGAGAAAAGTACAAAATGTGATGCGGATTCCTTTGAGAAAGGTTTTTCTGAAAGAATGCAGCTGAGGGACAAAGATCTTTCTAAGGATATGATTCAAAATCTAGGGCTCACGTACTCACGAATGGGAAAAGATCAAGGCTGGCGCTAAGAAAATGTTCGCGACTTTATCTCAGCATCCTATCCCCCTACGAATTTCCCCAACCACCATGTGATGGGTTGCTTCTTATGGTCCACACTGGAGAGGAAAATTGCGCTTCAGAACGCACCATTGTAGCTTCCCCTAAGAAATCACTGAACAAAGCCTGGGCTGTAGTTTTCCAAGAAACTCTGCGTGCCACCGTCAATGAGTAGCCGAAGCGTCTTCTAGTACAGGAGACAATTATATCAGATGAGCGTGTGTTCATTTTGTAGATACGATGCACAGTAACTCACATGAATTCACCATGTATCAATACGAACTGCGGTTTCTGTAGCTCAATTCTTTTGTTACCATATTCATGGCGCACCCTGTACTATTAGTTTGATGCATAATTATTGCGGATTTTTTTCAACAAATTTTATTTAACAAAACGATTAAAATATTGAACAAAAACATGTTCAAATGATTACTCCGGAACTTATCTACCCTCTACGTCAAGTACTGCTTCCCATTGGCGAAATAGTCGGATTCCAAAAGCGAAGAACTCTCGATCCTTGGGGGCGATCCACGCCTTGACATCGGCCATCAAGTCATCCAAATCGACGGAAGTTCTATTCCCTGGCCGTTTCTTCAGCGAACGGTGGACGTTGGTTGGCGAGATAATCCATAGAAGTCTATGGTTATGAATAGGGCAGATTCAGGGGCAGATCCCATTTCTTGGTTGGCTTTGGCTAATTGTTCCATAGCCTACTGAAGTCGCTGAGTGACTCTGCCACATTCCAATCTTTCTCGAAGTAGTAGAGCCTAATTCCGCGGATATGCGGATGGTTTTCTAAGTACATTTCTGTAGAGGAAATCGAGCAGATCATTCCTAGAAAAAAACCCGAACTCAATAATCAATTTCTATCGGAAGAAAAAAGCCGCGCAAAAATCAGCAATAGTTATGCATCAACCTAATATAATCTGCCTCCTACCAAGCCTTATATAACGAGGAAAACTATTTGTACTATGGGTACTCGTTGTTGGACAGGCTACAGAGCATACTCTCGTAATGAGTAGGAACACCTGATTGATCGAGGCTTAGATCAGCACTTCTTAATCAACTTTATCATCACCTTCCTCAATTCCGTGAACGTCAGAGAACGACATCCACCCTGTATTTTCGCGATACTTCGATTAGCCTCTGACAGTATGGATTAACCGATGGCATTGAGCCCTTCCTGGAACCCTGTTTGCTTGGCTGTACTTCATCTAGTATGCTACCAGTTCTGAGAAGCTCTCGTGTGAAGATTCGTAATAGGCTACAGACAGCTAGCAAATTGGGTGGTAGGAACCAATATC